AGGAGCTCAGAGCCCTGCTCTCCTGCACCTGCCTTCTCCTCCTGGGGAACGGAGCCGGGGCTGAGCGCGTGGGGTCACCACCGGACGGTGGGACGCTGTGCGCCTAGGCTGGGACGCGGGGGAAGGAGACAAAGTGCCACTAGAGTTGAACCGCTTACCTACCGGACGGCATTTTTTGGTTTTTATCATTTCACCCCTTAGAAATAAACCTGCCATGAGCTTCTCTGTGAAGGTTTTTGGGTGAACTGAAATTTTTCTGCCCAGCAAATATCACGGGCAGTGAAGGTGTGAAAATGAGCCCGCCTCCAGGATCTCACGAGGAAACGCCACATGGGTTGGAGGTTGAAAGGGCGAAACAGGGCAGAGAGAGTCAACCTAACACCGTATCTTGGATCTGAGCCATTTCCTGAGGAAAGGTCCGTTCCTTAACGCGCGGCACAGGTGCTGAGGACGGGGGAGGGACGGGGATCACCACACTGAATAAAACACTGCCGGAACGCATCTGGACAGGAGACCCCTGACCTTTAACCTGTCACGAGCCCTCTGTTCTTGGTCTCCAGAGAACGTTAATTACACAGAGATCCACACCGATCGAGCGGGTCCCCTGAATGAACTGGATGTCCCCTTGAATTAAGAAGAAACTGACGGTTTGCTGTGGACCCCAACTAGTTGTGAATCAACAGACCGCCTCAGTTTCTCATGGGAATATTAGCGCAGAATCCCCAGCTGAAACGATCACGGAATCCCCTGAATCCGAAGGGAGCACGGAAACGTCAGTGTGCTCCTGGCCTTCCCATCGCTTCTCCAGGTCCCACTGAAATAAGGAATATTCAGTCGAAGAGCAAAGGGAAACTTTCTGAAGCTCGTCTTAATGTCGGAGCCACAGACGCTTCCCGCGCTTCCGTCTTCGGTTAGGAACAGAGAGAGGAATCATCACGCATGTCAGGGAAATACTCCAATGACCCTCAAGTTGGGGTGGGCGGTCTGTCTTGGCTACCACGGGCTCACCTCTGCTGTACAAACTGTTCCAGCGGCATTCGATTTTCTGGAAGACTTTTCCGATTGATTTACGTTGTGAACCACACGCCCTCCTCAGCCTTTCTCCGAGCTGGGAGGCAGGCCAATTCGGGGAACCCGCGTGAGGCCTGAGTCAAGTCGGTCCCTGACCTGGGCGGCTGGCTGTGAGGAGGCCCGGAGTCCAGGGCTCTTGTGTGCGAGAGCCTCAATGTGGGACTCTGGTCAAAGTCATACCCTAGCCAAGGGTCCAAGTTAGGAGGAATGGCTCCCCATCTGGTCTGCAGATCCCAGTAGGCAGCTGCTGTTTTGGCTGCAGATCCACCTGTGGGATGAGCCCACCAGGCACTCACAGAACAGACCCTTCCTCTGAGTAGCTGCTGGCCACCCAGTGGTGTTCCTTATGTTTCTGCTGTCATCAGCAGTAAAGTGAGGTCCCAGGCTGCATCACAGTGACAGTCCAACAGCTGGCTTCCCTGGGAATGCCTGATCGAGGCCCCCTTTCCTCACACTCTACCCTGGTGTCTTTAAAAAGAGCCCTAATGTCGACCAAGATGGCAGAGTGAGTGGTCTTCTTTGTCTATCCCCCTTCGAATGTACAACTAATTGGACATTCACTGATTAACATGCGATATCCAGATACCATTTTAAGACGCCTAAGAGACTCGTGTTGCTATACATCAGAAGGCGGACTGACTTCCCTCGGGGAGGAGGTGGAAATAGGTGAAAACTCTCCGACCCCTGACCACTGACCACTGGACAGCCGAGTACCTGCAAGAGGCTCTCTTCCAGCGGACTCCCCCATAGCATCGACACACACCAAGGGCGGGAGTGTTCACTCACCAGCGGAGCGATGGTGGAAACAGGTGACAACAGCCCTACGTCCCCGTGATTACACCTAAGCACAGGGGGAATCTCCAGGGTCCCACAGCCACCAGCAGGGAAGGCCTCCACTCGCCATTAGCAGGGAGGCTCCGCCCTGAAACCAGAACAAAGGCAAGCTCCCAGCGAGCAGATTCCCCAGCATGGCACCAGACCACCAGCTGCTGCTGGGCCCAC